ATTATCAAAGCTAATCAATCATTTCCGCATTGGTCAGGAATGTAATCTGATATCTTTGTAGTTTATCAAATTCAGACTGGAATGTTTGCTAATCACTCCACACTGTTCTGATGTTCTGATTTGGGGACATGGCTATGTGTGGTATGTATCCAGGCTGTGTTGCTCTGACGTAAGAAATGTCCAGCCAAATGGGCTGAGTAACTATACAAGCTATGCAAAATTGTAACTCTGAGAATGAGGATGAGGAACTCAGCAGGGGCTAACTAAATAAAACTTCATATCTCTCATGTGCGTGTAAGATAAACTTACTCAAATAGGCTGTGCTGAGGTTATACTTTAATTTTCACTATACATGGCAACACCACCACATGCAATTTCCCCTCCAAGTAACTCACCATCCCCCATTTGGAAATACATTGCTGTTCATTCAGGGCTGCTGAGTCAAATGCCTGCAACTCCTTCCCCAACACCATTGTGGCTCTATTTATGCAAAATGAACTGCAATCACCATCTTAAGCAGAACTAAGGATGGGCAATAAATACAGGCCCATTCAGTGATACCCACATCCCAAGAATGAATATAAAAACGGTGTCAGTAGGAGAAAGACAATTGAGTCTGGGGTTTTGAGGTAAGGAAATGGGTATCAGCCTGAATATTATCCAATTGAACTGTGAATATGTAATCTTAAATGAATATAGAGGCACTTGAATAGCTCCTTTACATTTAAGATTAACATCCGCTTGGTGAAGGAGTCAAAAGTTTCAGCAGAGGAAAGGAAGGCAAGCAAATTGCAGAAAGCAAAGAAGAAAATTTGCAGGACATTAGCTCATGATGATTGGAGATGATCAATATGCATATTAATCTTTCCTTGCATAGTACATGAAATTGGTCATTGATCATATTTAAAATTTATTCAAGAAATGTCAGCATGTACAAATTTGTAATATACTTTGTTACTAAAGCACAGCAATCTCAAGATCCTAAATACTGCTGAGCTGCAAACTGAGGCTATTCACTAAGTTTTCTTGGTTATAAAAAGAACTCAGTGCCCTCAGATAACAAGGTGTAGAGCTGGATGAACACAGCAGGCCAGGCAGCATCAGAGGAGCAGGAGAGCTGACATTTTGGTCTGGACCCTTCTTCAGAAGTGGGGCCATTTCTGAAGAAGGGTCCAGACCCGAAACGTCAGCTTTCCGGCTCCTCTGATGCTGCCTGGCCTGCTGTGTTCATCCAACTCTACACCTTATTATCTCAGATTCTCCAGTATCAGCAGTTCCTACTATCTCTCAGTGCCCTCAGGATATGTTTACTTCTAGCAATTAGAATCTCTGGCTACAAATAACTTTTCTTTCACCATTAATGAAGAAAGAATTTATTGCATAACATGATGGACCTAACATCTATGAAACACCACATTATCTAACACAGAGGAGTACAACAGGAGATTTAACAATATATATCAGGTAGTAATCATTTAAAATTTTCCATGTTCATCATATTTCAAGCATTATAATAGACGGTTCTTCAACTAATGGGAGTATGCCTACTGACATTATTTGGGAATGCAGGAAACAACACTGCACATGACAACTCTTAGCTCTTTTCTGCATGCTGCCCCTCATTGAGAAAGTTTGAAAACACAATGTCAGGTTCCAAATGTACACTGATGACACCAAGCTCTATCTCATCCGCCCCTCTCTTGACACATCCAATGTTGGATATCCAGACTGAACAAGCAGAAATTTTCTTTGACTAAAACTGGGAAGATGACCCATTTACAGGGTTAAGGCCATTAACTCCAATCCTCTTCATCGTAATTCTCTGAAGCCTATTTAGACTGTTCACAACCAATTGTTGTATTTGATCCAAAGATGAGATTTCAACCAAATGTTTGCTCCCTCACCAAGATCTTCTATTTCAACCCGTGTAACGCTATTTTACCCGATCCTACCTCAGCTCATCAGTGCTCAAATCCTCAGTTACACTTTTGTTATCTCAAGTCTCCACTATTCCAGTGCTCACTTGGCTGGCAGCTATAAATTGATGCTCAACAATATTTTGCTGCCTGTATCCTAATTCGTACCAAGACCCATTCACCCATATCTCCTATGTTTACTGGACCATTGGCTCCCAGTTAAATAATACCACGATTTAAAAATTCTCATTCTTGTTTTCAAATTGCTCCACTTCCACAGACGTCCTTATCTTGAACTTCCAGCCCTAAAATCCTCGAGAATATCAGTGCTCGTCTACTTCTGGCCTCTTGCACTATTCGCAGCCATGCCTTGAGTTACACACTAAAATAAAACAAAGCACTGCAGATGCCAGGGATCTGAAATAAAACAGTCACTGGGCTCAAAATGTTAACTCTGCTTTCTCCCCACAGATTGTGGCAGACCTGCTGAGTTTCACTAACAATTTCTGGTTTTGTTTCATACTTTGAGTTGCCATGGGCTTAGCTCCGGAATTTCTGACCTAACTCTCTCCACATTCTTTAATTATTTACGGCACTCCTTTAAAATCTCTGCCTTTGACCAAGATTTGATCATCTGACCTTACATCTCCTTTGTGTCAAAATTGTTTAATAATGTTTCTGTGATGAGCACTGGGATGTTTTATTGCTTTAGAGTACGGTATTGGTTGTGTAATTTATGTACATTTTAATATTGTTTATTTCAGATTTTGGATTTTTAAATTTTGAACAAGTGACATATAGGTTTTGTGTGTCTGAAGAGGCTTGATGATTAACATGTAAGTATTTCTGTAGCCACGATAATTTATTTTAAAACAATTTGAGAGAGAAAGCCTCCAAGAACTAATGGGTTTTGTTTATATTGGGATAGGTTACAAGCAAACAAAATACACAGTGTACAACAACTGGCTTCCGACAGGAAGATTCTAGGCTTTTTTTTAAAGCTTGGGAGAATCACCAAAACTTGGAGAGAAAACATTCAGTTTTATTTTCAATTTGGGGCAGTTCTACAAGATTCTTAGCTGAAGATAGTTGTGTTAAGCAGTTGTTCCTCACAAAGGGAGAAGATATTTTAAATTTGTTAAAATTAAATGGTGCGTAAGGAGTTTAGGTAATGATTCCAGAATGAATAAAACAAACTTTTGTTTTAACACAAAAAACAGTTTGTTATGGATCACTGAAAAACTGAAACGATCAAACACAGGATATTGGGGCAACACACCATGACCAATGTTGAAACAGTAAATTGAAGAACAAAAAGACGAAAAACACATCTAATTTTGGACAGAAGAGGAGAAAAATTTAAAACAAAATACCTCAGGCAGTAACGCAATGTAAATATCTAAACTAAAAGTAAAATACACTATTGTAGATACTGGTGACCTGAAGTAAAACAAAAAGTGTTGGAGAAACTGGAGAAAACAAAGTTAACATTTTGAGTACAATATGATGATTCTTCAGAATTCTGAGTCCAGGTGGACTCGATGTTAATATTGGACTCAATTTTAACTTTGTTTCTCTCCACAGATGCAGCAAAGAGACCAGCTGCATTCCGCCAGCACTTTGTATAAAACTAGAATGTAGCCTGGCATGTTGTAAGCAGGTGGACAGCAATACTATGCAACTAACCAAAAGGAACAGATTTTCAACAAATATTGCTGAAGGAATGGAGAGGTTTGGAAAAATTGGCGGAGGGCATCAGCTGCAATTGTGGTGGCATAAAATGTTTGATGACTACTGTTGTGCAGTTTTAATGCTGTTGATGGAGTGACAACATAAATGGATATTTTGCGAAACGAGTATTAGTACAGATGCAACAGTTTTTTAAAATTACAGTTGGAAGGCTAAAGAAACATTGATTCAAAGGATCAAGTCATAATCAAGGTGAAGAATCATGTTATTTTCTTACTGAGTGATTAATATGTACAATGGATTTCTATAAAATTTAACACTTCAACATATGCATATGATTCATTCAGAGTGTAGCAAACTGTGGACTTCTGTCAACTCCCTGCGTTTTCATTGTAAAAACTGGGGCAATTCTGGTACGAGAACAAATTCATTTGGATCTAGTAGTCTAAATGCAGAGACACTGACACTGCGAACTCTAAAAACTGAACAAAAGGGGCTCTTTCTTAAATACATTTGTAGGAGCTATTGTTGATTCACCGAACCATTTCAAACAGAAGTTGAATGATTATTTCACTAGAGTTTGGATTGAAGATTATGGGGATGATTTTAGTTGATAGAAAATAGAACAATATTTTTGGAGGGTCCCAGGTTTGATAGCATGTGCTGAATTTGCTGTCACTAGTCAGTTTCAGAAAGTAGAAAAAATCAGCTAGAATTCTTACTCTTGATTAGCACTGTGCAGTTGTATGTGTGGACATTAGCTGCGGATAGAATTGGGTTCTGCTGTGATGCCCTTCAGAGTTAAACAGCTTTCTAAGACTAGGATGGGTTATTTGGACATTACATTAAAGGACAACCAGCACCTAGAAAGAAACAGTCCTTTTAAAAGAAGAGAATCGACCACTTATTGAATAACATTGGCTCAACCAAGCCATGGTAAACATTTATATGCTCAGAATGGCTGTCCAATGTGACTAAAAATAGCACACAATGCCATTAGCAAAGCTCACGAGGGACACCGAGGCAATTGGTGGTTGGGGTGGGGACGGAGGGTAGTGCAGGGGTTAGGTGGAACACTACTTAGGTAACAAACGGAGTCAGGTTTTGCCAAGGGTACCAGCTGACAGTATGCCAGCAAGCACAAACCCTAGCCAAATAATGAAAACGTGGAGCTGTCATCATAAAGATTATGTAGAAAATGTTAATAAACACTTCCTATAAGGAACAGCTTCAGGCAAGGTAGTCTGAGAGGATTTGCTGTGCAAGAACATAATTAATATAATAAAGGAGGAGATGCCAGTGGGGATATTGTAGTCAAAGGCATTTAAGGTATCTGCCAAAAAAACTCTTGTGATCCCTTCTTAATGCAAAATGGATTGTGATGCTACCCTAATATCATCGAGCTCTGACCTTCAGATGAAAGTTCCAAACGTGGTCGTCGTAATTCGTAAGCCTTTGGGCAGTTAAACAAGCTTTCTCTGCAAGACTGCAAAACTGGTTTAAAGTTTTGCCTCTCTGAGGGGCAAACACAAGCACTTTTCCCTAAAAAGAAAACATTGATGACTTTTTGTTATTATTCACATGAATATTTCAATTCTACCCACCATACAACATAATCTTCTGCAGTTAAGCAATAAAACATGGACTAACATACTACATTGTAACTGACACCTCACACACCCACTTTAATCTCAACATTGGGAAAATGAAGCAGCTTAAACTTTAAATGTATACATTTATATATATCAGGTTCAAATAACAGACATAATACTTCTGATAATTTGAATTTGTCTTAGGCCTTAAGAACATTTAACTTGCCAATAATTTGAACTAAGCAACACAAATGACACAGCAAAGTGGTAATTTCAAACAAAATTCATCAAAAATTTGAACTAAGTAATTTTTAGGATTCATCTACATTCATTTGCTGTATTCTGAAATTTGAAGGTCTGGAGAGCCACTTTGACAGCTGCTACCAAAGAGTTAAGTACATAAGGTTAGTGTGATGTTTGAGTGGTGGGATGGTAGGATGCTGGGAGAGTGGGGGTAGATGTATAGATGGTGGTATGTCCAGGTAGGCTTGGTATCACCTGGAGAGAGTGTAAGGCATGAGGGAGAGATAGCCAAATTAGGAGGGGGTAGGGTGCCAAGTAGTAGGATGCCAGGGTGCAAGGTGGCAAGGTAAGTATTGCAGTGGTGAGGATAGATAGGTTGGAGAAATCGGGACCAGTGGAGGGCAGGGAGCAAGTGAGTTGGGGATGGGGTATCCAGCGGTGGCTGGATGGATTCATGGGAGTGGGTCAGATCTAGATTGGGATGAGTGGCATTGTGGTTAGGTCAAGTAGCAACAGTGGGGAAAGATAAGTGGAGGGTGTTTTTGGGTTGGCTGCAGCAGCAGGCCTGATGGCCAAGTCCAACAAAGCAGAGGGTAGTGTCTGGTCCAGCTAGGGATGGACCATAGGGGCACAGGGTATGTCTAGTCATCAGAAAATCTAAGCTGCTATTTCTTTACTTCCTACAATATCCTCCACTTCTGTTTGATGATGACTCACACAGGGAATTTGGTTCTGGGAATGCCAGCAATTGCATGGACCTTGATCAAGTGGTGTTCACAGGAAAAACTTAAAACAATATGTGTTAGACAAAAATTGCAACAATGGAACTCGTAGCCAAATCTAATCGTGAGGTAACTCAATGTCAAAAACCAAAAAACAGACCAATTGGATAGTGGCTAGGAATGAAAATTCTGGAGTGATTTTTCTGTACTTTCCTCTTTAGTAAATAAAGGGAAGTGAGGTCAATTTCAGTGTACCTGTTGCTCCAATGTTAAAATTCAGGTAATTCAGACTGACCGAAGATTAAACTTGAGGACATCTGATCAGTGGGAAAACATGGACATTTTTATTTTTTATTTTAAAAAATTGAAATGATTACACTAAATTCCAAATTTTGTGCTTTTGACCATCTTTCAACAAGTTTTCTTCAATATTCATTTTGGGTGTACAAACACTTCAAATGTAAAGTTGTATGTTAAGTTCATGTGGCTGAAAAGATGGTGTGAACGGGGTGGGGTTTCAGATTCGTGGAGCACTGGGACCAGTTCCGGAGGAGGTGGGTCCTGTACAAATTGGAAGGATTGCACCTGGGCAGGACCAGGACTGATATCCTTGTGGGTATACTTTGTAGAGTGATTGGGAAGGGTTTAAATAGTGTGGCAGGGGGATGGGAACTAGAGGAGTAGGGTAGTAGATGCAGAATTTGAGGGAGAGGTAGAAACCATGGCAAACATTACTAAGAATGAGAACAGGCAGGGAAACGCTGCTGAAAAGACCAGAGCAGGTGGTCTGAACTGCATGTGTTAAAATGCTAGGAGTATAGTAGGCAAGGTAGATGAACTTAAAGCTTTGGTTAGTACTTGGAACAATAAACTTATTGCAATTAGAGAGACTTGGCTGAAAGAGGGACAGGACTGGCAGGTAAATATCTTAGCATTTAGATATTTCAGGTGCGATAGAAAGGGAGGTAAAGGGGTGGGGAGTTGCATTACTGTTAAAGGAGTACCTCACAGCTGTATTGAGAGTGGATACATAAGAGGACTTGTGCAGCAAGGCAATATGTGTCAAACGTAGGAATAGGAAAGGTGAAGTCACAGTGCTGGGGCTATACTACAGGCCTCCCAACAACCAGCAGGAGATAGAAGACAGAATATGCAGACAGATTTTCGAACAATGTAAAAACAGTAGGGTTGATGTGGTGGGTGATTTTGCTGGGACTCACTATGTGGTAGGAGCCTGGATGGGACAGAATTTGTAAGGACCATTCAGGAGGCTTTCTTGACTCAATCTGTAAACAGCTGAACCAGGGAGGGGTTATACTGGACCTGGTTTTGGGAAATGAGTTCGACGAGGTGAGTGAAGTTTCAGTGGGGGAGCATTTCAGGAGTAGTGACCATAATACCATGAGTTTTAAGACACTCATGGATAGGGATAATAGCAGTCCTCAGGTGAAGGTACTAAACTGGGGGAAGGTGAACTACAACAAATATTAGGCAGGTACTGGACAATGTTGATTGGAGGTGGTTATTTGAGGATAAATCTACATTGGACATGTGGGAGTATTTCAAACGGCAGTTAATAAGTGTTCAGGAGCTGCTGTTCCAGCCAGAGTGAAGGATAAGTATGGCAAATTACATGAATCTTGGATGACCAGGGATGTTATGACCTTGGTCAAAAAGAAGAAGGAAGTATATGTAAGGTCTAGGAGGGTAGGAACGGATGAAGCCCTTGAAGTATATGAGGAAAGTAGGAACGAATTTAAACAAGGAATTAGAAGGGCTAAAAGGGGTCATGAAAAGTCATTAGCAAACAGGATTAAGGAGAATCCCAAGGCTTTTTATACATATATAAAAAACAGAATGGTGGGAAAGGGTTGGCCTACTCAAGGACAAAGGAGGGAATCTAAATGTGGAGCCAGAAGAGGTAGGTGAGGTCCTAAACGAATACTTTGTGTTAGTATTCACCAAAGAGAAGGAATTGATGGAGGATGTTCTCAGGGAAGGGAGTGTCAAGTTTCTAAGACAAGTTGCTATTTAAAAGGAAGAGGTGTTGTGCGTCTTAAAAACTATTAAGGTAGATAAGTCCCCAAGTCCTGATGGTATCTATCTCTGAATATTGAGGGAGGTAAGAGAACAAATTACTGAAGCACTGACAGACATCTTTGCATCCTTTTTGGCTACAGGTGAGGTCCTAGAGGACTGGAGAACAGCCAACATTGTCCATTGTTTAAGAAGGGTTACAGGGATTATCCTGGAATTTACAGGTGAGTGAGTCTCATGTTGGTGGCAGAGGAATTATTGGAAAAGATTCTCAGGGACAAGATCTATATGCATTTAGAAGCAAATGGACACATTAACGATAGACAGCATGGTTTTGTGCTTGGGAGGTTGTGCTTCACTAACTTGAGTTTTTTAAGGAGGTGACGAAGATGATTGATGAAGGAAAGGTGGTTGATGTTGTCTATATGGAATTCAGAAAAGCTTTTGACAAGGTACCTCATGGCAGACTGGTATGAAAGGTGAAGCCACATGGTAGCAGGGGTGAGCTGGCAAGATGGATACAGACAGGAGGCTGGAAGAACCCAGCAAGCCAACAGCATCTGGAGGAAAGGAGAAGTCAATGTTTTGGGTATTACCCTTCTTTGGGACTGAAGTTGTGAATAGTGAGGAGGATTGTCAAAGGATACAGCAGGATATAGATCAGTTGGAGGCTTAGGCAGAAAAATGGCAGATGGAATTTAATTGGACAAATGTGCGGTGATGCATTTTGGAAGGTCAAGTACAGGTGGAAATTATGCAGTGAATGGCAGAACCTGAGCAGTGTTAATATGCAGGGAGATTTGGGTGTGCAGGTCCATAGATCGCTGAAGGTGGCAGTGCAGGTAGATAAGGTAGTCAAAAAAGTCTTCTGGCATGCTTGCCTTCATTGGAAGGGCCATTGAGGATAGACAAGTTATGCTGCAGCTTTATGGAACCTTAGTTAGGCTACTCTTGGAATATTGCATACAGGTCTGGTCACCACACTACCAGAAGGATGTGGATGCTGGCTGGTATGGGGGATTTTAGCTATGGAAAAAGGTTGGATAGACTGGGTCTGTTTTCACTGGAGTATAGGAGGTTGAGGGGCAACCGAATAGAAGTTTATAAGATTGTGAATGGCATGGATAGAGTGCAAAGTATGAGGCTTCCCAGGATGGGGCACACAGATTCAAGGTGTGAGGGGGTAAATTTAGAAGAGATGTGTGAGTCAAGTTTTTCACACAAAGAGTGGAGTGCGTAGAACACGTTGCCAGAGGTGGCGGAAGCAGACACAATAGCATCATTCAAGAAGAACCTGGACGAATACATGAATAGGAAAGGAGTAAAGGGATACGGATCATGTAAGTGCAGGCAGTTTTAGTATGGAAGCGCAAAATGATTCGGTGCAGGCTTGGAGGGCCGAAGGGCCAGTTCATGTGCTGTATTGCTCTTTGTTCTTTGTATCATCTTTATTTGAAAGAAGGCATAAACATTCTTCCTTGTTTAAAATATGGAATACTGAATAAAACAATTTTAAAAGTTCAAAAGATCACAGTTACTGGTAATAAGGAATTTAGTATCTGGTTCATTTAAAGAAAAACAAGTACAACAGATTTTGAATGCTGATTTTGATTAAAACAAAATCTCATGCATCTTCAGAGCATTTTTCATTTCTTTAGCTTCGCCCTGCGCATCTTATTAGTCAGCTGAACGCAAGAAGTTTTCCAGTTTATGATTAAGAAAGAATCAGATAGATAAGAGGACTCAATTGAAGTTGAACATAATAAGTATTAAAGTATTACATGACATTAATCCTGCCATTCCACTACATTCTCAATCATTGTGCAGAGGTCTAATTATTCTGAAGTCCATGCTCAGAAGAAAATTGAAACGCACTTACATTAGGTTTGAGTAATCTCTTCATTGCATCGACAAGGCTTGCTCTGTACTGGTCCAGAAACAAACTGACATTGAATGGAGAAAAAAATGCATGAAAAGAGTTTATAAGCCACCACATATTAAACTGAAGCTTTTTAATATATATATAAAAACAGGAAAAGTGAATTTTGTGTATGTTACTGTAAGCTGTTAAATTCTGAAATATTTAAGAAATGAAAACATTTTTAAAATGTAATTCTTACTGATTTGTTGGTCAATGATTGATAGAAAACTAAGGTGATGCATGTCCCATATGATTTCTTCACATTTTGATACAGTTTATTCTAAAATAAACGTAGGTATAACAACCGAAGAGCAAGTTATTTTTCTGTACTTCTACACGGAACAAATTTAATTTTAAAGCTTTTGGTTAGACCTTACTTCACCTACTTAATCTGTGGAAAGTCCATATGTGAGCTATGCATAAGAAGGAGACAACAGCCTCCTTCACCAGTTCCCCTGGCTGCCTTCATTCTTAATCTGATCTAATCCTGACAGCATTATCTTTATCCTTGCAATAAAACCTAAGTGTCCACTCTAATATTAGGTAAGAAAGGCATTTGCTAAATTGCTTGCAGGAATCATATGGTATTGCTTAGCTCTTTGATTCAAAGGATGCACCACTGGTTCATATCATTACTGCTTAATTACTAATGCAGTCCATTTACCTTACTTGTGCAAAAGCAGCAAGATAGAGAGAGAGCTGTGAAGCAAAAAAAAACTCATACAGTACTTATTTTAGAGATAGTAGGAACTGCAGATGCTGGAGAATCTGAGAAAACAAGGTGTAGAGCTGGATGAACCCAGCAGGCCAAGCAGCATCAGAGGAGCAGGAAGGCTGACGTTTTGGGCCTAGACCCTTCTTCAGCCTTCCTGCTCCTCTGATGCTGCTTGGCCTGCTGTGTTCATCC